CCCCAAAACCCCAAAACCCCAAAACCCCACAATGAGAAAATAGAATATGGTCATGAAAATAAGCATTACAAAAAATTATCACTAATTCAATTTGATTAATCTTAAGATTATAATTTCAAAATTAAAAATACAAACATGGGTAATAAAAATGCTAAAAGACTACCTTTGAACATCCTCAAGATTCCTATTTATGCAGTAAGTTAAGGAAATATTATTTTAAAAAACTAAATCAAGGGTTTCATATAAAATTTACCTTTAAAAATTGCTATAGATTGCAAGCTATTAAGACTACGTGTTTCTCGGAGGAGGTGGAGGCTATGAAATAGAGAATTTAATAGAAGTCTATCATCTTGAAAATCCTAGTCAGAATATCCTTAATAAAAAGGTTCACGAAGAACCATGTGGAACTGGAGTACCTAATTATTTCGAGTTAGCTCACAATGTAATTTACAATACCAATTAATTCTTACAATAGAATCTCAATCTATTAGCTACTTGTATATTTGCTAATGTAGTTCTATATAAAATTGAGAGAGAAACTGGGTAAGTTTTCCACAATATTCTACCATTTTAACCTAATGCTCTAAACAACTAATATTTATTTATCAAAAATCATATAGAAAGTTATTGAAACTCTAAGAATTTTAAGCAGACTTTAAGAAGGAAGAAGCATCTGTGAACTGCTGCAGATTTTCTAGAGACAATAGTCTACTTGCGACAGGCAGTGATGACTTCCATGTCAGAGTATTTAAGCTGAACACGTCTGACTACAAATCTTAGGAAAAGTTATTTGAACTACCAGGGCATTTCGAGTCAATCAATAGTGTTGATTTCTCTCCAGATAATAAGTATTTGATCTCTTCTTCAACAGATGCTTCCTGCATTATCTTTAACCTTGAAAAGAAAGGACAGAAAGTGTAAAAACTGACATTTAATGATGGTCTCGGGGACAACCCTAAAAATATGCTAATGAGAGGCTGCTTTTTCACCAATGACAATAAATACATTTATACTTTAGCTACATAGACTAGATCCAAATCTTACTTAATCAAGTGGTAAAATAAAGAGAATTATGAGCCAGCTAAGGTGACTCTAGTACATAATACTACCTCATCTGGGATGAGAATTTCACCTGATGGTAAGCAAATAGGTATCATGACAAGTGATGGTTTCGTTAAAGTTATGAATGAAGGTTAAGAAAATTTCACATTTGCTCAAAAGAGGCATAGACTGCCAGTAACATGTCTAGGCTTTAAAACTAATGTAAACGGTGGAGCTGAGTTTGTGTTGAGTGGATCACCAGATTACACTTACAACATTATAAACTGCAAGAGTACTTTAATAGGTAAGTCCTCTTCTTTAATCAGCTTAAATTTTAGGTACAACATTGAGTTTCCTTTTGAAGTTAATGATTTTATTTGGAGTTGTGTTTATTCTGATTGGTTTTGTTTGATTCTAATTAACTAGCTTAATTTTGAATATTTACCTTGTAGTTATTTTTATTAAAAGATCAATGTGTATTTAAATTTTTTATAAAATGGAATTCGACGGGGTTTTGGGGTTTTGGGGTTTTGGGG